CAAGTCAGAGCAGCTTTAATGAGGTTTGCTGGAGCACAGACGGAGCATTCCTGAGGTGCTGAGGCCCTGTTACACACACACACAAATAGACACACAAAGACACACACACAGACATACACACACACACACAGAGAGAGATCACTGCTGTCACACACACACACACACACACAGGCCTCAGCAGGATGTGAGCTGCAGTCATGATTACAGTGTTGTGTTTGTGCTGCTAATTCTGGCTGCTGCTGATGAAGAAAAACAGGAGAGAAACAGCAGATATTGTTATAATTATTCAGTCAGACTAAAGCACTGTTCACAGTGTGTCTGATAATATTTGTTCTTCTGGAGAAAGTCTGATTTGTTTTATTTGTTTTATTTGCTAGAATAAAAGCAGTTCTTAATGTTTTAAACACCATTTTAAGCTCAATATTATTCGCCCCTTTAAGCTAGATTTGCTTTCAATAGTCTCCAGAACCATCACTATACAATCACCTGCCTATTTACCCTAATTACCCTAGTGAAGCCTTTACATGTCACTGTAAGCTGTATAGAAGTGTCTTGAAGAATATCTAGTCTAATATTATTTACTGTCATCATGACAAAGAGAGAATAAATCAGTGATTAGAGATGAGTTATTAACACTGTTATGATTAGAGATGTGTGGAGAAATCTGCTCTCTGATAAACAGAAACTGGGGGAAAATATACAGGGGGAGAATAACTCTGACTTCAGCTGTATATATCACAGAAATATCACAATGCTCAACAGCTATATGAGCCACAGGAAGCTGTCAGACGCTTGATTTCCACATGTGCTGTGAGCTGATCCACACTATCTCTGATCATCATAGCCCAGAACTCCTGCTACTCACACAGGATAGACACTTGGGCTTTCCTCACCGTAATGTTCCTAAAACATGGATTAAAAACCCAAAGAACTGCTCAATGAACTGACCCTCACCCTGCCTGTAACACCCTGTTTTATATTAAATGAGTGTAAAACCCTTTCTGTGGCTTTTAGAGACCGAAAGGCTCAATCACTGGACCCGGTGTGTTTTACTAGAACTGTACATCAAACATGAACCTTTTGGCTTCTCTGACCCACCGGACCCACTCAAACCCTAAGCACCCGCAGCCAGCTGATTATACAGGCGGCTCAGTGTGATTGGTGTGTTTTTCTGCTCCTCATCTTAACTCCGCCCAGTCCGCTGACGCCCCTCCTACTGTTTACATTCCAATCCCCATATATGGAATAAGAGCCCCGCCCCCATGACTCTGGCTGAACTAACAAAACAAGTCCAGATGAGAATCACATTACACACACACACACACACACACACACACACACACATACACACACACACACACACACACACACACACCTGTGAGGAATGTAGGAGTCACTTCAGGGAAAACACAGGAATATCTGCTCTCTCCATTTTCACACTGGAGGTCAGAGAACAGACGGAACACAGTGAGTAGAGCTCAGGAGAAAACAGAGGCGTATGAAGCGTGACATTGTACAGAACTGTAGACGTCACAACTGTGTAGTCAGCCGTGGGCTTTCTATAGCTATATACATATATATATATATAAAACACTAAATCACTTTTTAGCATCCAAAGTGCAACTTTCTCTATATTATCCAAAGATGATGTGCTTACAAGACGGTCAGATCAATCACACAGTACTCCTCTAACTCTGGTTGTTGGCTGATGGATCTCTCAGAGAAACATGTGAAATGTGCAGAGCAGTGGATCGTGAGGAGCGGTTGTTGAGAAGCGCTGCTTTATGTCCATATTTCTGTCTCTTCATTGTCTTTTATTGTCTTCCTTCTGCAGCGACGCCTCTTCAGGCTCCGGCCTCCACCCTGGACCGGTTCTCCGTGCGCAGGAACAGCAGCCGTAGCGGAGCTCTCTGCAGACCCCAGCACACCTCCAGCACCTCCAGCCCTGACCACACACTCTCAGCCAGCAGCGACTCCGGCCTCTCCAGTGTCTCTCTGCCCACTGCGGCTCCGGCTTCAGCTTTGGGTCCCGGGACAGCGGCCCCCAGCCGGCAGGAGCGTGCGGAGCTGAAGAGGCTGCTGAGTGGCTGCGGTGTGGAGGAATGGAGCCGGGATCGCAGCTCACAGGAGCCGGCTGTCGCACACACACCACCCACTCCACATATACTCCTGAACGGGCGCGCGCGGCAGAAAGAGCGGGAGACCGACATCCTGGATGATGAAGTGTCTCGGCACGACCTGCACAGCCTGGACAGTCTGGGAACTCTGTCCTCCTCCTGCCACAAGAGCAGCCAGAACTCTCTGCTGTCAGACGGGTTTGGGAGTCCGGCCCGTGCTGAAGAGGCGGCTACGGCTCCACCCGCACACCTGTACCTGAACACCGGATACTCCACCATGAACTCCGGTTACCCCACACAGACCTGGGTGCACCAGCAGCAGATGGTGGCAGCGCTGCAGTACTCATACCTGCCAGAGGAGGACGCTGTAGAGCAGCGATTCCACAACCACACGCAGGACACATCGAGACACCCCACCGGTGAGAACACACCCTCATACAGCACTGTTCATGTTTATTTTAACAGCGCTTTATAATGAAGACTGCGCCATATCAGCTTAACTCTTTCCCTGCTGTTGAGAGATCAACTAAGAGAAAACACTTCCCTGCCACTGACCAGGTTTTAAGGCAGTCTGTATTTTAGGTATATTATAGTAAGGGAAGCCCGACGCATGTCCGCAGTGATGAGCAGGACATCATTTGCTCACGGGGGAGAAATCTGAGAAACAGAAAGTAAGATCCTGGGACACTGTCAAAACCAACGTTCCCTTAAGGAGGACACTCCAACATTATGATGAAAACATTGATGATGATGATGATGATGATGATGGTGGTTTCCTCCTTCAGGGAATGAGGGTTATGACAATGTATGGAAAGTGCCACAATAGTTGAATCTGCTCCACGTTTGGTGAGGAGCTTGCTAAGCGGATTGGCTGAGCGCACAACGTCCCCAAAGGCACATCCTTCCAACCTACCCTGGCTCTTTATATTACCAGAAACTGGCAATACTAGAATTATTGAGGGGGGTCTTAACACTTTGAACCTAGTAGTACACCAGGATGTTTTTGTATATGACAGTATGTTGGGAAAGCAGCCCAGTCCCAAAGTGGCAGGACACTGCGGAGGCCACTGCCTACCCAAGATGACAGACATGCGACAATACGCAAATATGGGCCAGCCCTGACCTAGAGGAGCACTACTTATGAGCAGGATGGTCAGCCGGTAGGGAAGCCTGAAGGGGGATCTTCACTGTGGCTGACTGAGGATATGGCATCACCAAGCAGGGATGCACAAAGCCGGCACCGATCCCCAAAACACAGGTTGACCAAGTGGGCATAGCAGACAATACAATGGGCCAAGTGTCCAACTCCTCAGCTGAGCCGCATGTTGGGGGGCTCAGAGGAACTCCCTAGGGTTCACCTGATAGGGAGCTGGATAAGCACACACGTCTCCTGGTTAAGGAGAATGGTGAAGCAAGCGTTTTCATCACTGACCCTGGCCTTCTCACTATCGACTGGCACTGCCCAGCAACCTGGAGGAAACCAGCTCCACATGGAGATTATAAATCTTGTGAATGTGTATTCCAGACCACAGCCCTACATGTGTCTGATAGAGGGGCACTGTGTGCAAAAGCCCAGGAGGAGGCAACACTGCTGGTAGACTGCTCTCTCCCTCCTGCACTGAAGATCTCCTGCTCTGAGTGTGGTCCACATTAGGGGCAGGGCGCGCGCCGGAGACAGCAGTGAAAGAGCTGGCTCTGCCTCCTCCACAGGCACCGCTTGCAGGTTCACTACCTGCTCTTTAAAGGGGTTGGCAGGAACCTTGGGCACATATAACCCGAGAGTAGACAGGCCTGAATTCTAGGTTCGATTTGTTGACTGAAAATGCCTCCAGGTCCCTGAACCCTCTTGATTGAAGCCAATGTGACCAGCAGAACTGTCCTAATCTACAGAATTCTTTAAGATACCGAGTCGAGTGCTGGAAATGGATCCCTCTACAGTCCAGAGAGGACTATGGAGAGATCCCAAAAGCACACGAGGGAGTGGATGGGTAAGGATTCAGTTGCCTTGCACCTCCAAGGAACCCAATGACCAGGTTATGCCTTCCCAGGCGACATAATCCTTCAGTGTGGAGGGTGACAGCGAGGGCATGTCCACATGCTGGACTCTCAGACATCATGCTGCATCCAGAAACACACGCTCAAAACAACATCTGAAATTTCCACTTTAAGGAAACCTGTACCCATCCACTTCCACAGCACCTGCTTTTCCTACTGTGCAAGTCAATGGTTCCTGGCTTTCAGCATTCTTCAAAATATCCTCTGTACTGTTCGAAAGAAAGAAACTTATGAAGGTTTGACTCCACTTTAGGGGGCGAGCAGATACTGACTACTTCACTGATCTATGTGTGTTTAAATATGTGTGTGAACCTTGACACTATTCGTCAGTAGTAGTGCATCGTGTCAGTGTGTGTGTGTGTGTGTGTGTGTGTGTTCACTGTCTGCAGTGGCGAACAGCCCTCCGCTGGTTCCAGAGAGAAAACAGACGGACAAGAAGCACGATGAGGAGTTCAGTTCCCTGACGCTGGACATCGATAACTCCATCCACCAGCTCAACCAGCTCATCCTGGACCTGGATCCCACATTCCTGCCCGTGTCCAGCAAACCCAGCTCACTGGAGAGACCCGCGGACCGGAACGGGAACACACAGCGGCAGGAGAGATCCAGGGCCACCGGTAAGAGGAGATTCGGATCAGACAGGTTCTGCAGGGTATCAGCCTGCCGTTAGGTTGAGAAACACAGTGAGAATGTGAAGGATAATAATGAGCATAATGTACATCAGCGGTTATCATCCCAGAATAACCCCTCAGTGTTGATCTACAGCTGCTGATGAGGACGCCGCTGCAGTTCCCCTCTCTCACCTGTAATGAGCTCATACAGACTATAACAGCGCTCCTGTACTGAGAACCACACTAGGCTGGAGAGTCCCGTGTTCAGTGGCGCTGGCCTCACACACACACTCACACACTCACACACTCACAGCTGATTTATTGCTGATTAATTATAATCAATCGATCAGTGGATCCGTCTGATCAGTTCCACTGGAGCCGCTGCGTTCACAGCTGCCATTCACTGGGGCTTATGAATATTCATGTTGTGTGTGAAGATGTGTGTGTGTGTGATCAGTGACAGCAGTGATCTCTCTCTGTGTGTGTGTGTGTGTGTGTGTGTGTGTGTGTGTGTGTGTGTGTGTGTGCTGTGTGTGTGTGTGTGTGTGTGTGTGTGCTGTGTGTATGCTTTATTAGTGTGTGTGTTTATGTATAGAATGTATCATGTGTGCATATGTATGGAGTGTATCGTGTATGTGTGTGTGTGTGTGTGTGTGCATCTTTTTGTGTGTGTGTGTGTGTGTGTGTGTGCCTATGTGTGTGTGTGTGTGTGTGTGTGTGTGTGCGCACAGAAAGCAGCTTTGTGTGCGTATGTATGTGTGTGTGTGTGTGTGTGTATGTGTGTGTGCATATGTGTGTGTGTGTTAGTGTATACCACATACAGTTGTAGTCAGAATTATTAGCCCCTTTTGAATTTTTTTCTTCTTTTTAAAATATTT